CCAGCTATGAATGAATGGGCAATTATTGCTATTAACGATATCAGTTCGTGACATGTTATTATGTAAATCATAGAAGTGATTCTCTTGGAGCACTGCTGTATATAATTTGACCAGCTTTATTTGAATATCATATGAATTACTTATATATTTTATCAAATATATTACTGTATATTTTGCAAGACATCAACATGCGAGGCAACCACTTTACTTTTGTCTCATAATGCCACAAAGTTACCTCGCTCAATATTGACAAGACATTTACAAAGGTAAGATAATTCATCACATACCCGTATGTAACTTTTGCGGCTCCGTAAACGGTATTGCATGGTCGTGCATATATTTCGACGTGAGGTCATTTTCGTTATTTTCGTACTATTATTTAGTTATAAAGATTTTTGACAGGTTATATGGCCCTATATTAGCGGTTGTTTGAAAATAAGTATATATACACATGTATATATTTTACTGTAAACAGTTCTTTCGCCAGAGGCTCGCATAATATAATTTAATTCAAATCGTCCAATAAATTCAGTATTGAATCTATAATGACATAACAGAGACAACAATTTGTTACTATGCTACCGTTCCTTCCAGTTTTAAAACAACGGAAATATTTCCTTCATTAATTCTTATCTTGATATAACACAGACCTTGCTAAGACATAATCTCCATCAATACAACGTAAGTTATCTTCAAATATGACTGTCAAGCACGGAAACATTGCTTTTAAAGTGCACGAACCGACTGAAGTTAATTAACTTTGATGTCAGATTTCGTTCATGATTTTGAATAATAAAAGTAACAAGCTGGCATTGATGATTTAAATTTAATTTCAATTCAATAATTTAATTATAAAATTCTATTAATTAATTACAAAATATCTTTTCAGACATGCTAACTATTGTTATTGAACTGAATTAGATCTAATAAACGGTTAAACATTATTGCATCAATAAAAAATTTTTGATTTTTTTCAGGAATGGCATATGCAATATTCTTACACGACCCGCAGTTCCCCCATTGAACATAGAAGAACCGAAAGTGTGTTTTATTAGGCTATAAACTATCAGTTTGACGTTCTATTTTTAGACATGTTACGTAATCATTATATACACGTGATGTAACCACTAAAAATGCGACGCGTTGTTCAAATATATATAATTGTATTATTGTGAGACATTAACGTAACGCCTTAAACACTGATATGATCTCATAAAAACTATCATTATCTATCTTTGTTTTTATAATTTGTTTGTTTTCCTCGGTTGGAAAAGATTCATCGTAATTATATAACAGTATGATAAGGTATTGTATACATTGAATGTCGTCTCTTAAGAGTACCTTAAATACTCTAGATAACTTAGTCATCATTTTGCTATTTCGTTTCGAGTAAAATTTTGACAGAAAGTAAGCGAAGAAATATGAATATACAATGAAATTCTCAAACTAAACTTTAGGCAATTAAATATATCTTTTGTATCCCTGTATAATTTTATAAATTTGATAGTAACTTCTAACGTTTTTGCAGAGTAAATACCAAATATACGATGTGGTTGCTTATATAATTAAAAGTCTGTTACATACATCATAAATGAGATAAATGTCGATATCAGCCATATCTCCATATATTTATTCGATCTGAAAGAATTGTATAACGAATGATGTTTGCTTAGATGTCATGATTTGTAATTTATTGTACATATGCCATGCTCTGTTATTGTTCGGTTTTGTAAATATGTTTTGCTCTTCAATATTGGAGGAATAAAAAAGTATCTATCTATCTATTGAGCGATAAAATCACGGTTTGGGATATATTATTTGTTTAATTACATGTAGACAAAAAAGGCAGGATGAACCAGTATAGTTGACCTAAACGTTGCATGAACTAATAAGGTAATAATGACTTTATCATGACTTATCTTCCCTTGACATAAACAAAATATTCAAAAGTAATGGCACATAACTCGAGAACTAGCATAATAAAAACCAACATATTTGCTTCTCTTAAAATGCTTCTATTATTATATTCTAAGATCATTCCAAATTTATCGTATCATTAAGAAAATATTAATGGTGATTAAGTGTAGATTGCAAACGAAATTTATTTCAGATACAGTTTGGAAAATTCAATATTAAAATCTGCCATATCTGGCGATAAATTATTTTTTTGTTTCTTTAGTTCAATGCATAAAATCGTATGTTATTAGTGTTACCTACCAAATAACGTTGTGTTATATTCAATTAAAGCATACAATACTTGATCTTCCTGAACATTGTAACTTTTATGGGCCGTTTAAAAATAATTGTATGATCATAAAGTACAGAAACTTGTTTGAAAGTATTGTCTCTAATGGAAATTACGAAACCTTTTAAATGACATGAATAACGTCAAATCTTCTAATTAAACTGTGATTCGTAGCAGGGAAGGCGTTTAAACCTTTCTGGAATCCTTTTAAGATCTAGTAATCAGTCATACGATATTAATTAGAACATCGCACTTGTCTTTTCAATTTCGACGCGCAGCTGTTCAAACTCTTGTTTCATTTTTTATCTATTTCATACCTTTTGTCTTGAATCAATTGAATATCCCATGCAAAGAATGTTTAGTTTGATTATCGATTGATTTTCTGTTATCACGTTTGCTATGGTTTATCAAATGAATTGTTTCGGCGCGTTGAATTGTCTGTAGTTTTAAACCAGTACAAGCTGGAGGCGACTAAACCATTGCCTTTCAAGTTGTGTGGTGTAGATTATCTGTGCAGTTGCATAATATACAAGTACATCGAAAAAACTACAACACATTTTTTTTTAGGTATAAATCTGTTTCTCTCGGTATTTTATTCCTAATCTAGAAAGAACAATTGTAACCATGTAATTCGACCCATTCATAACATTAAAAACATCTGAGTGTTGTTTGATTCCTACTATTATTTTAAAAAAAAAAATCATAAGACATATTATACATACAATGTTTGTTGTACCAAAGGGACGACAAAATAGGAATTTAGAGGAAGAAACAAAATAAAAACAAGCAAGCAAACGTTGTATTTGCTATTCGTTAACGTGTGACAGTGTACAAAAGTAATTTCGAAATTTACTTCAGAATAAAAATTACTAAACAATGTCTTTGACAAACTTTTTTACAGCTCGGTTCGTTTGATAAGAAATAGTTATATGTTAACATAATTTTTTTTTTACCTGGTCTGAAGACAACAAAAATTGGTAACGTTGGTGTTTATTTTCATTATACCGTTTTTATGACAAATATTGGTCTTAAAGATATGGTTACTTCTTTCATATTCACTTTTCATTCTTCTTTTTCTTCTTCTTCTTTTTCTTCTTCTTCTTCTTCTTCTTCTTCTTCTTCTTCTTCTTCTTCTTCTTCTTCTTCTTTTCCTTATTATTATTATTATTATTAGTATTCATTTTTAAATGTATATTAAAAAGGAGGATCACGAGGTGTGTTACAAATAAAACTTGTTTTGAACGCTCCTATCTCTAAATGAAACGGAGAACGAGTTATCTTGTTTTGAAACTCAGGAACATTTGTATAACTGATAAAAGAAGATAAAAAATAAATGAAAAGATTGCAATAAAATTGTATCAAATAAAAAACTCTATTTCATTACAGTCTACACGCATACACAATAATTAAGTATGTGAGGGAAATGTTTAGATCGGGAAAATATGAGAACGAAAACGACCTCTTACCGCTATGGTGGACACAACACTATTGTTCGCTTATGACGTCAAATCCTTATACATGTTATATGTTTTAAGGTTCGTTTTAGAATGACGTCATAAACTAACATTATAAAGTAATAATTATAGTAACAAAATCAATCGTAAAGTATAAATAGTATTTATTTAAGGAAATTAAGATGCCCGAAATACAGAGTGGTAAAGTGCTAGTATTGAGTGAATCTAAAATCAAGCATTCATTAAAACAACAACAAATATCTTTGAACCATATGTGCAAGTAATAAAATGGCTGAAAATATTCGCATGAAATGTCATATCAGACAAGCTGGTTTAGATGAAAACAATTTTCAATTTATAACACTTTGTAACAGCGACACAAAGCGTTCTTAATGTGTTTAGAAGTGCACATTCGAAGCCATATTTGCCACAAAAGAAAAATCTACATGCATTTTTATCAAGTTATGTATTTACATAGAAAATATAATATTGCCCAAATCAAATTCTTAAATATTTTAGAATAAGCTGATTCAAGGAAAATCGACATGTCAATTTTCAGTAAAGAATGTCTTTTATATTGTATACTTTTTTAAGATATCGACACTGTAACAGAAAATATTCGTCGCTTGCAATGACGTATATGTTTTGATATATCATATTCATGTTTAGTTCATTTTGTATTTTGATACATTACATCAAAGCAAAGCGTTATCCTGCCACAGAATGATTTCAGTTAGTCAATGTCTTACAATACAAAAATTTATTATCTACTTTTATATATAATACAGTGTCCACGAGCACATCTTTCTGAACATATATGCTGACTTTGCAAGTTAAGATGCTAGTGAGCAAAAGCAATGCAAATACAGTAAACTCCGCTTATAGCGAACTCATCGGGACATTCAAAATATGTTCCTTATATCCGGAGTTCCTTGTAAGCATATAGCGAATTAGTTCCTTATATCAGAAGTTTTTATAGCGAACAGTTTTACATATAACGAACTAATTGTTTACCATTATCCTCCATTTTGAAGAGCATTTGATTAAGAGAAATAACTCTTGGTTCGTCATTGTTGTCTCCCTTATATTGTTTCAATAAAGAAAAAAGGAATAATTGCAGTGTTGTTTCTTTTTAATATATTTTTATATATAAATATATTTATAACATAATTATATTATATGTACCATATATGCAATATTGTTATTTATTAATAATAGAATATCATGCATAAAAAAATCTCTTTGCTGAGAAGAAGTCGCTAATTTTAGTTTGGGAATGTTTACAACTCTTCAAGTTAAATTCAATATCCAATATTTTTTTTAAAAACTGTTTCTTCAACATGTGCATTGGACTCGAAGTATGTTCTAATCTTGTGCAAACAATCAATAGCTTCATTTTTTGACACAACCGGCAGATCATCTAAATAGATCTCGTCTTCGGATGATTGACAGTCATCGTCATTATTTGTTCCTAATATATCCGCTACAATATCAGAATCATTTTTTGCCTCAGTTATTGTTTCATTTTCCTCTGCAGGAGGGATATCATTAAATGAAGTGTCTGTGTTTGTTATTGTCCGCAGACGAGCAAGGGGAATTTCATCTCTCATATTTTCTATCATTTGTGCGAGTGGCATGTCGTCATCATCGTCCATGGTTTCCTCTTCTGCGATGAACCCAGATTTTCTAAAGCATTTCATAATAACAGTTGGTGAAACATCTCTCCATGCTGCAAATGCGTATCTTATGGCTACAAGCACGTTGATGCCCGGCTCTTTCTTTCTATCGTATGACTGAAGTAAAAGAAAGCGCTATTATGAGATATGTTTTCATTGTTCCCATTTAAAGATATATTATGTAGCTGTATGAAATAAGATACTGTATTACCAATATAAATAGAGAGTAATTTCTTTTAGATGTAAACAAACTTTACTTAAAATTTGTATCAGTTTGTATTTGTCAATTAATAGATGTCAAAAAATAGCAGTGTTTAATATCTGTTGAAAAGGTCATTAATAATGATACGATTTCTATACATTGTTTGCCAAGATATTCGCACCTCCTGGAGACAGGCTTTGTAGTGCACTGATTGATGCATTGTTATAGGTGTTTACAATTTGCTTACATCAATGATATGTTCCACCATACGCTGTCTGTATTTACATTTGAAGTTGTAAATAATGCCCTGGTCACAAGGTTGTAAAACCGATGTGGTGTTCGGCGGGAAAAAAGCCAAAGTTATCGACTTTAACCCAGTCAATTTAGGATGAGCAGCACAGTTGTCCACAATCAGTAATACCTGTAAAAAATATATCGAATTCAAATAGTATAACGTGTTATTAATACCGAAAAAAAATACTGTAAGGCAGATTAAAACATTTTTTCAAAAGCTTTTCCATAATGGCTTGAACTAATATCCTCATTACTGTTGCTTAATTTATATAAAGCACAATATGCTAATTAAGATACATTGTATTAATAAAATTTACAAGTTGTCATTCTTTTATAATAAATTGATCGTACTGAAATGAGTTGAATTTAACTTATTATAAATATAATGCAAATCTCACCTTTCTCGATTGAGATGAAAACTTTCTGTCAAGTTGTAGCACCCAGTCAGAGAAAATTTTCCCTGTCATCCAGGCCCGTTTATTGGCAAGGTAAGTCACAGGTAAGGACTTTACGCCTTTAAAACATCTGGGATTAGCAAATCGGCCAATAACAACGAGTTTAAGCTTCTCCGATCCATCCATATTGCAAGCAACTAGGAACGTTAATCTTTCTTTGCCTTTTTTTCCTCCAGTGCAGGTTTCACCACGGACATTAAGAGAGTATGATGGCATAAGTTTGTAGAAGAGCCCCGTTTCATCAGCATAAAATATGTTTTTAGGGGAGAAATATTTCAGCAGGGCAGGCAAAGTTCGCTCCTTCCATTCATCAGTCACCGATGAATCAACGATTCCGCTCTTTCCACTTATAGCACGAGAAACAATGTTGTGCCTTCCCTTGAAACGTTCTACCCAGCTTCCCGAAGCACTTAAAATAAAAATAACAAACGAATACATTTCCATTAAATATGTCTATTTTAGCCCGTACAACTGAAATAGCAAGGGGTTTTAAAATTCCAAAACGCAAAATATCTGATCTGTTTACGGACAGCCGATTTTGGAGTTCGTTATAAAAGTGTATTTTTCTGTACTTTTTATGGCATTGGGACTAAAAAATAAGTTCCTTATAAGCGATAATTCCTTATAACCGTGTTCGCTGTAACCGTAATTTTTTATATTAAATAAAGAAGGGCAAAATTCGGGCCAAAAATTTGTGTTCCTTATAACCGGAAGTTCGCTATAACCGTATTCGCTATATGTAAAGTTTACTGTACTTCCATTGTACACCTAGTGTCGGTGTATAGATTATAAAACAATATGAGAATCGAAATTACCAAGTTGAAAGTGCCCTGAATTTCTATGACGATCAGGGCATTGGAAGCCAGTAATCATATCTTATCTGCTTATAAGCTCCGTATTGTTGTGCACTTGCTGAATTTGTGTGAAATGAGTTATATGGAACTGTCCGTTTACATTGTGCGATAGTAAAAAAATAATCAAAATACAAAATACTATATATTAATAATATTAAATGGCCTGTTGAGACTGCAAAGAAGTGATATTAGTTTGCAAAGGCTTATTATTTTATATTTCAGAAGGTTGAATGTTAAGGTTTATAAACGAACAATTTCCACTTATTATCCATTACAGCTTTGCCGAAAAGCATATATATGTTACGGGTATGCAACTATAGGTAATAAAATGTGTTTATGAAAATGAAAGTGATAAATTATGTTAATTCCACATTGTTATGATCATCTGGAACGAGTTGTAACATATAATGTTTTTTGGTTTGATATTTGTTTGGTTTTTACAGTGCAACAACAAAATAGGACATATGGCGCCGAAGCAGTAAAGATGATTTTGGCTAGCCTTGCATATTACAAAATTTAAAGCAATACAAGGGGTCAAAACAACCTCACCTGCTGCACCTAAAAGATGCTTTGACTCCATTTATTCGAAACCATATAAACGCCTCTTACGACCATGCAGGGATAAACTGGTGGCTGCAGTCCATTAATAGATAAAAGACATACGTTTAACAATAATTTAATAACTTTGCAACAATTCACGTGTAAATGTTTTATTCCATATTTTGAATAAAGTAAAATCATGCGTTTTAAATATATAGTTTACTAAAAAAATTTAAGCACATTACATATTTTAAAGAATTATTTGTCAACAATAAAAAAACATCTCGTTTCTTAATGTTTTGATTTTAATTATACGCTCGTAATGGACCAACTGTTGCCGCGGTAAAATGTCTCCCCATACACACACTCTATGTTATCTTATTCTATCCATAAAGGATTGTTGGGGGTCCATAGGTTTTGTCCCTTTATTGCCCTGTCTGTTGATGTGTTAACTTTTGGGATGTGTTCATTGAACATCGCCCTTTCTCATTGTTATTGCTTTATATGCATTATTTTCCTATTGCCTTTGTTTTGAAGTATTTGACAGGAACTATGGTAATGCATGTGAACCGATGAGGCAACACAAGACTTTATTGATTGTAAACAATGGTCTACAATTTCAATCAAGCGCTGACACATTGTTACTGCACAGCACAGATAAGTGTGCAGATAATATAAGCTTGCCGGTGTTCATTTTGTCAGGAATTTTGTACTGAAAGCAAAGATAAGCATATTATAAACAATTGATTTCTTTTGTTAAAATTTGTTTGGCAAAATACACCAAGACAAAAAGAACTCAGGACAATACAAACTAGTCCGATGTTATGGTAGCATCGTTTTGTATTAAGATGAAAGATTTTCTATATATAAAATACGATGTTTTTCTTATTGCATAATGCTTCTTTCAGGTGTTAAAAAAAGGATATTGAAATACATAAATCGGTTGGAAGACATTGCCTTGAAAAATCGAATCACTTATTAGGAAATTAAGAAACCTTTTAAATGCAATGTACAATATCAAATCTCGTAATTAAACTTTAAATCATATTGAGAAAGGCGCTGAATGCTTCCTAGAATCCTTTTAGGAAACCATAAGATATTAATTAGAACACCACATAAAAGTAATCAATCTTGACGTTTAGATAATCATTCCCAAAAATAGATGGAAACTACCTTTTACACAATATACAGCATAAACCTTAAGATAGAACTCTTTATTCCATCAAAAACAGTTGGTTCAAAATTCATGTTATTTTTAGCACCTCTAAAAGAAGCTGAGCGGCGTGGTAGCGTCTTTTACGAATATAAACGTCGAAGAAAGTAGCATTTAAATTTTCAAATTACCTCAATAAATAATTTGCTCTAGCTTTACTCAGTAGTAACCACATCCTTCCTTCTAAAATAAATGGATGGCATTTGCTGTCGAATGTTTATCGTATTTTTCAGGCTTTTGTGGGAGTTTTTCATCGTGGCTGGAAACAGGAAATACTAAAAACAAGATCAACAAGGAAAGGCAGCGTTTAATGGACGCAGCCCCCGAAAGACCAAGCAACAACAACAAGTGGCAAGAAGCCCAGGCGGACCCAAAAAAAAAACAGGACAGGGCACAAGGCAGAGCACGGACAGACTAATCACTAAAATGATAAATAATTAGAAGTCTTGTCTGGTACTTATAATCATTGGTATAGGCTAGAACTTAACAATTCCTTAATAAAGCAAACTAAATACAAAGACATTGTTGGCCATCACCATTCTGTAAACGGGGCTGTCGTTGATATATGTAGTGAAGTTAGCTTTCATTTATATTGGACACAAATCTGCAATTTATCTGTTTTGAAGCAGCTGTGATTTACGTTTCCCTAAATTATAAATATCAAATTATTGACTGTGCGTAAGGCATATTCTATCATAACATTATGTGTCCGATGTCGTGGCATACATAAAACATATACTTAAATCCGTATCAATATTTCTTTTTTACCAACCATTGACAAAATTTCGCCAAACATTAAATTAATCACGAAAACTAAATTTGTCCTCTGTTTTTTGTGTTGGAATAATTGCTATAGTTATCATTTTAATGTAAAATATATATGCAAATTATTTCAAATAACATTTAATACAATAGCGATATCGTGTGTCATTTTTCCTTTTTTTGCCACATAACATCACCAAACAATGGGGCATTCTATGAATAATATGAATTATACTTTATTCTCGAATTAAAACAACAAATTTCTTTGACTTTCACGTTCTGGTTATGGTAATTATTTAGAATGCTCTCATAAATTTCATGTTTTATTGGTAATGAAAACCCTAAACATTTATATCTGCTCAAACAAATATGGACAAACAAGAAATAAAATGAAAATAAATTCAATTCGCATTTGTATGACTATTTTGATTTTATTTGAAAGTCGTTTATTCTCTTAAGGAAATGTGTAGAAGCAATGCCTTGCTCATAGGTATATAAACATATAAATATATTTGATACATTTTAGCAGGGATTCTACGTTTCCGAGCTCGGTTTCTGTTTTACGAAAATAATGCCATCAAACTTCAACTGATTTTTTTCCGTTAATGTAATGTCCTATAGTTACACTTTAAATGAAATATCACATTTAATGTTATAACACACAGTCAAACCGTTTTACTCGGTGTCCATACGCGCTGTACTATTATATTCTATAGATCGTTGGTATCGAAAGCGCTTCTAATACCCAAACATTCATACTAAAGATATGATTAAATTGGCAGGTCATTTTATAGACCGTTTAAACATTCTGTTGTTTTTATCATAAATGTAACAAAAACTCATAAAGCGAGTGTTAGAGTGCGACCACTGGTTATTCATTTTTAACCAGTTTTGAGTGCAGTTATCACGCAATTAAACTATCGGTTACGACAATCAAGGCATCATGTCGAAATTGAACACCAGCAGCATTATTCTTCGATTTTGTTTCTGAGATTTTAATAACTTAATAACTTAAGCTATTATTAATAAACATCATTAAATATAAATCTTTCTCCGGTGTCACATAATAGTCACACGCGCGTAACCAGGTCTACGGTTTATACATGTTTATGTTTGTTTTTGCAGTGTTTTTGTGTGTGTGTTTTATTGTTGGTATGTGTTTTAATTTTTATTTTACCTGTGACTTTGTTTACAAAGAAACCCTTTTGAAAATTAGTGTGGAATCTCCAGCATATAACAATTAATTCGGTGTAAATATTTAACTATTCTGACAATATGTATTTTTTTCCTTCCGAATATATGCGTATAATTGAGTTTTGCATCTTTCGTAGATCATTTTAAAAAACCTTGTAGGTTTTGGACTTCAGTTTATAACCTTTCTTACAAATTAAGTTTTACCCCAAGGAGGAATTTGGGTAGGCTACACTTGTTCTATTACGTGTTTATATCCCTTCAGTTTTGGCTCGATCTAGTATGAAGCGATAAAAAGGTTAGAAAAATGAAAAGACGTTTGACAAAAAAAAAGAACAAATAAAAATCAATAAGAAAAGTCGTGCATATGAAATGATTATTTAACTTGATAACTATATAAATATCTCTTTAGCGATATGACTACCTCCTTCGTTACAAAAGTCTCGAAGTGTAAAAATCATATATACATGTACGTATTTCATTTATATATTATTTTTTGGTTATGAATTATAGTATAACTGCATATTCTAGGCGGAACATCTACTTGAAATGTTTTCGTTTTTAATCTGTATTGCTGTTTAAATAAAAATATGAAGCAATTCTTTCATTATGACTTGGAAACGCCACCACAACAACAGTTAAAATATGAATTTCTCAATTTTACGTTTCCTGGAAACTGTAACAAAATCAAAATGGTATAGCAGTCTTTGATTTTCAATGCTTTATGCAGAGTTCACAAACAATATAAAATAAGACAACAACCTTTGTTGAAACTTAAATTTGGCGGTATGCGCTAGCTTGAAAGTAGTGATAGAGCCCAACGGAAGAAGTAGCTCTGTTGTTCACCGGACGTGTTTTGTGTTCAAGCAAAGTTATATGGTTTTACTTCTAGTCAATATCGCCTTTATTTTAAATTTTACCCAGGATGCAATTCAGAGAAATGGAAATGGAAAGATAATATTATAAAAAACGCATTTGTTCACCATGATTAAATTCACTTCTTCAAAATTAACTTGTTATTTAATGCATTAAATTGAAAAAAAACATTGCGCAGATGGCAGATTGCCCTATTCAATTTAAATTAATTTTCTTTTCATCGATCCATTGACAAAAAACCTTATACTTTAAAATCTTAAAAAAAACTCTTATCAAACCAAAATAAGTTATTCTTTACATGGATTTTATGACAGATTATGCCTCAGACATGAATAGCTTTTTTCTTCTTTAAAAGGCACAAACAAGAATTTAGCAATAATTTGATAATGAGATTCAAACATATTAGAGGCTTATTACTGGATAAAATAAGCGTAGAATGTGAAGCAATTTCAAAGGTAACAAAACGTAAAGAGTGTGGTATTTTAACTTCTATTCAAAAAAGGTAATCCATTAAGATGTACTTCGCCACCCCCTATAAAAATTGTCTGAGAAATGAGAATGGTAGCATTTTTGTACTTAATGGGCTAGTAATGACTGAAGTATAAAGCAATGTCATTATTTCAAAGTATAATTTGATGTATAGAAATAACCTTTCGGCTTTAACATTTCTTGTACATATTATGTAGAGAGGTATTGATTATCCATGATTTGTTATTTAACTGGCATTATTTGATAAAACTACGATACGTCATCTCATTTATTACGGAGAAAATATTGCTTTGTTTTGATATTCGACTCTAAGTGATGGGTTTGTTTTAAACATAATACATTATTCATCCATAGCATTTTTACAGCAGAAAAACAACGACGTAAGATCAATCTTTGTCGGAAATTGGAAATTTTTATACGATGGCTGCTTGAAAAGTGGTTTGAGAAACGTCGTACCTTTGTATTTTATTAAAGACATAATCAACGAAAAGTAAGTCAAACTTACCATTTTTATTGTTAACATAATATTAAATTTATGATGAACGCGATAACAATATGAAAATGTTATCCCTATAATCACATCATGATACGGTGAGTGGTTATTTACGTGATGTTATGGTGATTTGTGGTTTCTGCAGTTTATTTAATATACAAAACATAATTTTACATTGTTATGCATACATTTTAGCAATTTGCACACTGAACGTCTTCCCCTCATAAAAGCAACATTAAACTCATGTTCTACAGACATTTGTCTTTCAGTTTGTAGCTCACCTGTCACAAAGTGACAGATCGCTTTTCGTCCGGCGTCCGTCCGTCGTCCGTCCGTAAACTTTTACTTTAAATGACATCTCCTCATAAACAACTAAGCCAATTTCATCCAAACTTCACAGGAATGGTCCTTTGGTGGTCACCTTTAAAAATTGTTCAAAGAATTTAATTCCATGCAGAACTCTGGTTGCCATGTCAACCGAAAGAAAAAACTTTAAATGTCTTCTGTTAAAACAAAACCTAAAAGCTAGAGCTTAGATATTTGGCATGAAACATTTTCTAGTGAGTGTCTACCAAGTTTGTTCAAATAAAAGCCCTAGGGTCAAAATTGGCCCCGCCCCAGGGGTTCATTGATTTTCCTTATACTCATATTGTAAAAATTTAAAAAGTCTTCTTTAAAAGAACCTAAAGAGCTAGAGCTAAGATATTTAGCTTGAAACATCTTCTAATGAGTGTATATCTAGTTTGTTTAAATAAAATTCCTGGGTTCAAAATTAGCCCCGCCCCAGGGGGTCATTGATTTTCCCTATATGCAAATAGTTAAAACTTAAAAAGTCTTCTTTTAAAGAACTCAAAGAGCTAGAGCTAAGATATTAAGCATGAAACATGTTCTAATGGGTGTCTACATAGTTTGTTCAAATAAAAGCCCTGAGGTCAAAATTGGCCCCGCCCCGGGGGTCATTGATTTTCCTTATATGTGTATAGCAAAAACCCACTTTGTAAAAACCCAAATAGCTAGAGTTTAGATATTAAGCATGAAACATCTTCTAGTAAATGTCTACAAAGTTTGTTCAAATAAAAGCCCTGGGGTCAAAACTGGCCCCGTCCCAGGGGTGTCATTGTTTTTAACTATATGTGAATAGTAAAAACTTAAAAATTCTTCTTTTAAAAAAACCCAATGACCTAGAGCTTAGATGTTTAGCATGAAACATCTTTTTATGGATGTCCACCAAGTTTGTTCAAATAAAAGCCCTTTAAAATTGGCCCTGTCGGGGGTGACGGGAGATCATTGTTTTTCATTATATGTGTGTAGTAAAAACTTAACATCATGAAACATCTTCTTATAGGTGTCTTTAAGTTTGTTCA